CCTGGACGTATGCGATACAAGTTTGGGGCACCGCGTCTAAGCACCAGCTAAACAGGCTGAGGGTAGTTCAGGCACGAGCTGCAAGACGGGCTTCCGGGCTTCCGTGGTACGTAACCAACCAGGCCATCCAGAACGACTTACGGCTTGTTCCCGTGGGCGATCTCTTAAACCAACACAGCAGCCGATACTCGGACAGGCTAATAGGTCACCCAAATCCTCTGGCTAGCAGGCTTGCCGACCCGCAATCTACTAGAAGACTTAGTAGATTCCACCCCAGCGACTTGCCATCCCGCTTAATTTCCTAAACTTGTAATATTTTGTAAATAGTTTTATTTTAGTTTTGTAAATATTTGTACATATACTCTAGGTACACCCATAGTACCATAACTAATTTCCTGATAAACGCCCGGTTATGTTCAAATGCCTGAACGATTCCGGCGAAATAAAAATGTAAATATGTAAAAAAAAAAAAAAAAAAAAAAAAAAAAAAGAAAGCCAGGCCAGCTCTCTTGGTCGTCAGCTTGACGCGCCAAGGTGCGATGCGATGCGATTCGATGTGTGTGTGTGTGAGTGTGGGCGTCGCTCAAGCGTTAAGAAGAAACCTCCCCCCCGGCCGCAATATACCTTCATATATAGACCATAGTTGGGCGCCATTTTTGTACGGCAGAACAGCAGCCACAGCTTTGGCCCACGTTGGGCGCCATTTTTGTCAAGTCGCATTAAGGCAGCGCTCATTCGACTTGTTCGTTCTGCCCGTCGACTGCTGACGAAAATTGAACGGCCAGCAGAACGAAAATTGTTGTATAAATAAAAGCATAATTGATGCGAGACACACACACACACACACACTGCAGTGTGGAAGGTAAGGAAAACAAAAAGCGAGAGGAACAACAAGAACGGCAGCAGTCGCACAACATTCGACGCTGGCAGTGGCATATGGCATATGTTGCGTCAATCCAGCCATGAGCAGAGCAAACAAAACGACCAAGGAGCCGGCAAAAAGTAGGGAGAGAGGAGAGCTGTGCGCGCAAAAATGTTTCTTCTTTTGCATATTTTACGGCGCCCGTTCTGCGAAATGACTGTGAAAACAGGTTTGATGGGTTGGAAGGGAGGCGGAGGTGGCAGCGGCAACGCTTCGCATATCATTTTTTGGGACAGCGCGGACTCTTCTCGTATTTATCTGGCACTCAGCTATGTGTGTGTGTGTGTGAGCGCGTTGTCAGCTTGCAGATTTCTTATTTCTTTCAATCTTTGTTTTTTTTTTTTTCATTCTTTTTTGGTTTTCCTTCAGCTTCACATGGCGAGAAATTAATTTGAAATTTAAATGCGCACCCAGCAAGCTGAGAGAAATGTCTTTGATGATGATGATGATGATGATGACTGCGTTCGCCAGCTGGGAACATGTGTTTCCTTCCCCCGAAAAGCAAGGTGTGACAAGGTGTTCTGGCACACAGCATATTGGCCACTATTTGTGGTTATTCCAACGCCACAGTATGCTCTATATATCTAGTGTACTCCTCAGCTGTACAAATAAAAATGGAAAATGCTAATTGACTAATTTATTCGAATTTCAAATGCTGTCAAAGGTGCGGGACTGCTGTCCTCATTTCGAGTAACTTCAAGAATTTATTTCCCTTTCCACCCATCGCCTTTCACAGAGGGTGACATTTTTTATTTTAAATTTTATTTTCACTCCCCTTTTTTGGTTTGGTTGCTGTTGGTATGCATGTTGGGCGGCTTTTGCGCTTCGTCAGTCAAAAGCATTTAGAGGCAAAGGCAGCTTTAATGCATGCGCGCGCTTTCATTAACAAGTGTTCGGGCCACGCCCACTTCTAAGCCGCGCCCATGGCATGGACAGCAAAAAATCGCATCAGCAGCTTATGCAAATGGCTCTGTGTGTACGGCTGTGTGTGTGTGTTTGGGTGTTGAGTGAATACGAAATTATTGTTTACAACTGTAAACTGTTAACTTTTTTTCCACTCTCTGTGTGTGTGTGTTTGTGTGGGTGTCTCGTACTTTTTTTTTTGCATTTAGAAAACGTTTGCCAACCGCACTAAAAGCGACTTATAACATGTTGAGTGCCAAGAGATTAACAAGGGAGCCAACGTGTGAGGAGAGTGCCTCGTCCTCGTCCTGGTCTTGGTCCATCCATTTTCGCCCAGCAAATTCCTTTTTAATGAGCGCTTGGACCACTCCTGGACCAGGGGCGTTCATAAGCTGCTTAAGGTTTGGCGTAATCAAAAAATGTTCTTTCTCTGCATTTCGTTTTTTAAAAGCTTTCTGTGGTACATCAACATGAAAGCTAAAAGGAGGGGAGGGAAGGTTAGTGGAAACAGAAGCCAGGGGTGTTGGAAGTGGACTTTGTTAAGCTTAAAATTAACTTGCGGTTTTGTCTGGCGCAACTTTGACGCCTGCAGGTAGGCAATCAATTCGTTTCCCCTTCGAGGCAACTCTCTCTCCCCTCTCTCTCTCTCTCTCTCGTTGTACTTTGGCCAACACTACTACTGCACTTGGCCATATAATTAATGTATATGCCTGGCAGAAGGAAAAAGCGTCGAATACTTTTGCGTGGCAGCTAAAAATTTTTATACAACACACAGCAGCAGCTGGCGTCGTTTTGCGCTAATTACCTCGACCCCTCCCTGCCCCCAGCCCCCTGCCACACCGCAGTCGTAATGCCAAATTGCAATTACAGCCGCGTAGAGGGTTAGCAGTGGGTGGGGCAAACTGACATTAAAATGCTTAATGCAGGCAGGTATATACGGAAAAAAAAGAGCAAAAGAACGAAAATTACGCGCTCTTAAAATTAAAAAAGCAAGTAGAAAAATGTACAACTTGCTTTGCCAGAGTCTGGCCATTTTTTTCCAGGCTCCCACTCTCACTCCCTTCCATGCCAGCAATTTGCCAGCGTCGTCTTTTAGAGGGGGTTCCTGCTCATCTTAAAAATTGGCCAGGTGAAAAATTGCAGCTGTGTGTTGTTAGTCCTTCATGCTCTTCTTGGCCAAAAGGCATGGCAGGTCAAGGGGCAGGCAGGCGCAGGGCAAGGGGACCAGGCCAGGTCAGACATTCCAAGCGTGTAACGCTCTGGGCAAAAGGTGAGAAATGGGGAATGAGCCACATTCCAGCGTAATTGGAGGTAAAGTGCAGTTGCCTGTAGGCCTCCAGCGGATAACCCACTCTCTATCCACACTAATGTTGCTGAAAAAGGGGGGGTAAAAAAAGGAGCCCAGGGTAGACAAAAATTATGGTAATGTTCGGGTAGATGGCAATTTACACAGATTTCATCTTAGAGTTTGATTGAACAGTCCTTTTCCCTTTTCTCTTTTCCCTTCTACCTTCTCACCGAATACCCAATGAATTTTCCCGAGGCTATGTCTTTGATTTGCTGTGTTTCGACGACTGCAATCAGCCATAAAATGTGACGGTTTTTGATGCCCTGAAATTGAAATTGACTTAAGCCGTGCTCTGTTTGCACTTTTGCCTTTGCCTTAACTTGGGTTTCCTTGTACTCTGTTTATTTGCCTCACTTGCGGCTATATTTTTGAAGTTTTCCCGAAATGCGTATTTGTTTGGCAAGTCCGTTTTCTGAGGAATGTGTAACTTTTGGCCAACGGCAAGTGTCATTCGGTTTTCGGCTACCCCCAGTTTTGACAAACAACACTAAAGACTGTAATTACGTGGCAGCCTGTGCAGCATCACCATCAACCATCCCCATTCCCGTCATCATCATCATCATCATCAACTTCCGCCTAAGTAAACACATGATTTCTGTGGAAGCGCCGCGGCGTTTGTTTAAAAACGCATCTAAATTGCAAATTAAGCAACAAATTTCATCAACAATATTTGAATTTGAATTTAAATGCGCCAACGAGTTGCCGACTTGAGTGAGAGACCGATCCACGGTTGGAGGCAGATGGAGCTGAAGGAGAAGCCTGGGCTGGAGGAACCCGCAAACACACACAGAGAAAACCCAAAATGTAAAATTCGTTTGCTGAAAGAGTGAAGAGCAGAAAGGGAAGGGGCAGAAGAGGATGAGGACTTGGTAGAGACTTGGGATTGCACTGACTGCCTGGGCTGTAAACACCGAAAATACAACAATGGCAGCGTTTCAGGCTCTAGCCCACCACCACCACCACCCACTCTCCTCCTCCCTCTCAGCAGCTGGTTTGTGTATTTGCTTGTTTGTTTGTCAAAAGAAGCAATTTACGTGCAAAATAACTCAAGTGTCATGCAAATTTCATTTATTTTTCGCAAGCAGCAAGGCAAAGTACAAAAAAAAAAAAAAAAAGACGAAATAATTCCCGGGCTACGTTGTCATAGAGCTAACCAGGGGCCTCTACAGCTATATAGCTGCCTGGCCGCAGTCTCAGCTATATATGGTGATTCCTTACAAAATTCGAGCATAATGAAGTCACTTGGCGGGAAAACCTTCTCGTTCTCCGTTCCACTCGGGTTTCTCTGCTCCTATGCCAGAAGCTATTTTGATTTATTTTTATTCTCTTTGTATTTCCCTTTTTTTTTTAGAAAGAAAATTAGAGTAGAACGAGCTTCTTGATTTGCCATTGAAGTGCGGCGTAAAAAGGAAAAAATAATAATACGGCATTTAATTTAAATCTAATTTTATTTATAAATCATGGCAACTTGAAGGGGAAGGCCGGCGGACAGGCGGACTAAGCACTTGTAGCTTAAATGAAGTTTGCTAAGTACTTTTCAACGATGAGATTGGGCCAACAGCAACAAGAAGGAGAACAACAACTTTGAGTACGCATACTTCAGGTTTGAAATTTCATTATTTTCATATTATTCGCACACACACAAGTGCCATCAAGGAAAGGAAAGAAAGAAATCCTTGGTTTCTAGGAGAGAGAGAGAGAGAGAGAGAGAAGAAAAACACAATTTTCTAATTTCACAAAGCGTCGTGGGAAACTCACAGTTCTTTTTCCCCCAAAATATATTTATATAATCAAAGCTTAAAGATGATTTCAGATTCTATAACTTACCGGCATAGTTTGACTTCCGTGTAGGTTGGTTATTGCTGACTGGGCCTCCTGCTGCGAACCAAATTTGACGAAAGCGCAGCCTGCAAATGAAATCAAATAAAAGTTGATTAGTATTAATATTAAGGATTGCTTATTGAGAACATTTAACTATTCGACACTTCATTTCCCTGCCACTTCAATATACATTTTTGTACCATACTGTATATTGAATTTAAAAATCAGTAAAAATTCCATAAATACCGAATCGAGAGAGGTCAAATGTGGCTACAGCTGCCCCGTGTATGAGGGGCATTTAAATAAAATTTTAAGTGCAATTAAAAAACATTTTTGCAAGAATCGCTTCGTGCACTCTTGCATGAAAATCAACATCGCCATGGCCATCGAAGGGATGCGAGAATCAGCGCCCATCAACGCCCATTATATAAAAATAATAGTCGGCCTGCGTTTGGCCAGTAACTGGAACTGGATGGAATGTAAAATTCAAACTGAACCGAAAAATATACAAAAATAATAATAATAAAAAAAAAAACAAGGGAAAATAATTCCGCTGCACTTGCTCGCTCATTATATTGTAATTTGTGGGTGTGCCAGCTGTTGGGTGGGTGGAGGAGGAGGAGGAGGAGGAGGGAAAGGGAAAGGGAAATCACAATGGAGCCAAAGGCAGCTGGAGTGGTTCGGGCAGCGGCTTCAATGGCATAATTATTAAAAATCATTTATGCTAATTTAATATACAGTAATAACCACAAAAAGTAAGGACTTTCCATGGGGCCGAATAGCGGCAGAAGGGGCCTCGAAAAGAGAGCATGGCATGCGGCTGGTATAAACGTGGCTTATACCACATGTAAGCCGGTGCTTGAAAACGATTTAAAAATGCGGTTAATGCTCGATGGCTTCGAGCATTGTTTTACATTTGTAAATTGAGAACAAATTAAGAGAGTTCAATTTGGATTTTCATGTGGTTAGTTCGAGCTAAAAAGTTTTCATGGGTAAGATGATAATAATTAAGCACAACACTGCCACGAATATCTATGTGAAAGTCTAACTCTTCTTCTTTAATCTATATCAACTAGTATTTGAATGTAACGGCTAGCTGTTTGATAGTCGTTAACATCTAGAAGTGCCTTCTGTGGTAAAGTGGCCAATCTGGCAACGCTGTTAAAATGTATCGATATTGATCGCAGCCTTCAATTAATCGTATGTTCAAACTGACGCTATGTAATAACTGCAAATGAGAAGTGAAAGAAGACGGTCAAGTGTTAATTTCTTCCCAAAATACAAAATTTCTTTAAAATCAAACCGAAAACCAAATCTTTATGTTCGAGCAGTCTCTACCTTTAAACCCCAGCCGCCAAGGAATTAATTAAGGCCTAGCTTAACCCTTGCTCTGCAACTCTTGATCTGTTGTTTCTGTTTTCTGTTTTCCGTGAGCAAAAGCAAAGCATCAACAATGCTGAAAATTAAGACCCTCCAGCTGGGTGAGTCCTTCTCCAGGGGTGGGAATCCCCTGTCTCAAAAAACCCGGCCAAATGTCTAATTCCCGAACCCTCAGAGCGGGTTTTTGGACAGGATGGGTGTCCAAATTGCGGCTTGGGCTGTTGCTCTCCTCTGGCTGTTGTTGTTATTGTTGTTGTTCTTGTTGCCTTTGTAGTTGACGCTATTCCGAAAAAGGCGTAGAAAAAGGGGGTGCGGCAAAACAAATCCCGCCTAAAACCATGCAACATGCGAGCTGACAAGCCGAAAGGCAGACAAGCACAAATTTCGCGTGCAAACAACGCGAAGAGCAACAGCGAGAGAAAAATAACAACAACGGGGGAAAAAAAAGGAATAGAAAGGGAAAATTCCCTTTTATTCGCCTTGTTGCAAATGTACAAAAAATAAAGTGTAAAAAATTCAAGTGGATTTTTGTTTCGGCCCGGCTCGTCGCGACTCTTGTGTATTTTATGTTTTGTGTGTTGAAGTGACAACAAAATCCAGAATTTTCCCTGTCCCAAAACAGCGGACAGGCGGATAGGCGGTGGGGGGTGTGGATTCAGGATTCAGGATTCAGAATTCTGGGTCCTGGAACCGAGGGACATACAAGAGTGCAAATCAGCGCTCTGCTAAGCAATAAAAAATAAAATATTTTGTGGCCAGTTAATCCACACACAGCTGAAAAATGAAAGAGAACAACGAACAACGAGAGGACCAACACAAAAAGTTAAAAAAGCAAGGCAATTGCTAAGCATTTTTGTAAACTTAAATCAAAGTTGATTTTCCTTTTACATTTTTTTCCCGTTGTATTCTTTTTATTTCTTTTTGTTTTTGTTTTTTCTGTATATATTTCGGGGCAGGCTTTTGCTTTATGTGAAATGTATTTTTCTTGGCATAACTTTTGTGAAAAGTAAACTTTGCTTTTCGGGGGGACTCTGCAGGCTTAAAATGTTCGAACACCTCGAACAAGCGAGGGCCAGAAAGATATCAGAAAAAGCTTTATAAATGTTGCCATTGTTACATCGAGTAGCTATAGCTATAGCTGTTCGGAAGTGCGTAAGTTCTATATCTCATTTCGTATTTATGGAAAAGTTTCATCCTCCGAAAAGTTGGACATTCATTAGCATCTTGAACAAACAGTGCGGACTCTAATTGTATGTCTTTGACTGAAGTTCGACTTTAACAACTGGCTTAGTTGACTTTCCCGGGGTGCCATTTGATGATTTACCCTTTTTTTTATTTTTGTCTTCTTACTTTCCAGGCGATGGCCCAACATCACGGATAATTGTCAAACTTGTAGTCATTATATTAATTAAAAGCAAATTAGCCAACGGGAAAGAGGTGGTGGATGGATGGGCCAAGACCAAATCCGACCTCATCAACTTTACTTTGATGTTGCCAGGAGCTGGAAAATTGAATCTACATACAAATCGAGTCAAGGCAACGGACAACACTTTTAACAATTAGTGCAGGAGGAGGACAGGTTGCAGGACAACCAACATTCCTTGGAAAAGCTAACAAAGTGCAACGCCTTAATTACTTAACGGCCAAGAAGAGAGACAGGAGATGATTCTCTGATTCTCGGCAATTAGTTGAAATTAAAATGTGAGCAAGTGCGCCAAGTTTTTTAGCGTCTTGTGCAACTTCCGGTGAAGCGTGAAATGATGCAGCCAGCTGCTAGGACAGCGGATGAACTGAGCTGAGGAGCTAAGGAGTCGAGCCTAATGACACTTTTTAATCAAATATGCTAATGCTAATGCAAAAGTTGAGTTGTCATTAAAATTATAGCGAAGCAAAGTTGTCTTCTGTCTTTACTTTCGCTCAAGTCTCTTAAAGCTTTCATAAGTTTATTTTAATCATCAGATTTATTCCTTTATCTTGATTTTGAAAGTCATAATTTACCATCTGCTAGCCAGATGACATTTGCCCCTAATGGGTTAATCTTTGATCGTTCCACCCGGGAAAAAAACGGGTTTGCTGCGACAATTGAGTTGCACGAGATTTCGGGGAAACACATGCGATTAAATTTATGGGAAGGGGCGGCGGGGGCTCCGTATTCATGCTTGGCCACAACTTGCACATTTGCAATACAAATTTGCAATGCCATTAATGTATGGGAAACCCCGAATGCTGGGCTCTTCGCCCAAAAAAATGCCTTGCCATGAAAAATCGCCGCCGGTCAAACACGTAACCAAATTGTGCACAGCAGCGGCAGTAGAAGGAGCAGGAGGAGCAGAAGGAAGAGCAGCATGTGGAGCAGTAGCTGCAGGGCTAGGAGCGATGGCAGCAGGACATCAGGACATTGGGACATTGGCAGAAGCAGCAGCAGCAGCTACAGCAGGAAACAAGGATAACGAGCGTGTTGAGGCCCCCTTCTTACCCGCCTTCCCTCATCACATCCGAAGCCCCGTGAATGGGGTTTTGGTCGATATGTTGGCCTTGTCGGTTGCCGCCGGTAGGGGGGGCCGGGCAGGCTCATGTTATGGCCAGGCCAGGCCAGGCTTGGCCAGGACCTCCCTCATCTCCACACTGCCTGTGATGATGCCTGATGTTGCCTGCCGCTTCCAGTGGCACTGGCTGCATGGGACAAGTATTTTAAAATCCAATTAAAAACGCCCTAGTGGGATTTTTCAATCGCTGCCGACCAGGAGGAGAGGAGAGTGTAGAGCTGCCAAGGCAGCTGGACAGGCATCAGCATCAGCAACAAAGTTGCATTAAGCGCGCGACATTCGCTGGCCACCGGTCGCGTCATAGTCATTTGTTGGCAGTATGGCAAGAGGGAGGAGGCAGGATGGTAGGATGGTAGTATGGCAGGCTACCAGGATGGCAATGAGTTGAAGGAGGTCTATGGTCCCTGGTCTGGACTGGACCTCGTTGATGGCCATTGCATGTTTGCCTCTTGGGCGCAAAAGCGTAGCATGAATCTTGTTAGCCAACGTTTACGCTTATTATGCGATGGCAAGGCTATCGAATTTGTTTGATGCATGTGCAGGAGAGCTAGGATCCCCTTGTCCTTTGGCATCCTCGAAATCAGGTAGTGAGTGAGCGAGTGCTGGGGCAGGGATACGCCATGGATATGGATATATATATAGAGAGAGAAGGGGGGAGAGTGGAAAGCAAATTGCATTTGCGGCATGACACTCACAGTTGAATGCATCTCAGGAGATGGCTGAAGAAATCAAATAAACTCATCCAAATGCAACATATGATGTCCGGTCAGGTAGCTAATGTCGTTTCAAACTATTTGCCCAGAGTCGAAGGATAGTAGTATCAGTGTGCTTATATAGCCTTTCCCAAAACTTTGACCAGCATGTCTAATCAAATCTGTCGCTGGCAGAACTTATCAATATGGCCAACTACGAGCTGCAAAACACAAACACACAAATGTGACCAGGATGGACCCCAAAATGGATGAAATTGAACTCTGCCAGGCATGAGGCCCTGGCACTTTGCATACAAATCATATAGACTTTTTCGACTATATCCCAGGACACACACACACATACACACTCTCTCTCTTTCTCTAATACAAGCACCACTGACACGTAGTTGGAATGCCCAATGGAACCATTATTCTTGATTTTAGACCAAAAAAAAAGAGTAGGTTGGG